ATATATAATAAATAATAATAAATAAAAAATAAAAATTCATCACAGTGCCTGTGATACGGTAATCAATAAACATGAGTATGTAAAATCTTACACATGCTTCAATGACAGAAACCTCTCAGTCTCTGTCATTCCTTCATTCAACAAATATTTATTAAATTCCTTATGGAATAAAAACAATGGGTAGTAAAGAGATCAAAAGCTTTGGAGTCAGAAAACCCTTGGTTTTCCTTCTAGCTCTGTCACTCAGAAGCAATGTGACTTTGAGCAATTTGCCTGACTCTTCCAAGGTTCAGGTGTCTCAACAGGTAAAAGCAGATGACATCTACCTTGTGTGGCTGGGGTGATAGGGATAATTATACCCATATCATATATGGAGGAAAGGTTTTGTGAGGTAATATACTTAAATTTAAGTTCCCTTCCCATATCAAATCCATGGAAATTTTGTCACAGTATAAAGGATTAAAATTAAGTGTTATAATTCAGAAAATAAATGTTCAAAATGAAAAGAATCTCACTACATAGGTTTATACCAATTTAAAGTGACGTATCTGGAATACTTTTTTTTTGAGAAAGAGAAGTTTTAATAATTCCATAGTATCAAGATTAATGAGTTGAACCAGTTAATATACTTTTTTATTTTATTTTAAAAATTTTATTTATTCATTTGACAGAGAAAGAGAGAGCACAAGCAGGGGGAGCTACAGGCAGAAGCAGGCTCGCTGCTGAGCTGGGAGCCTGATGTGGGGCTTGATCCCAGGACTCTGGGATCATGACCTGAGCCAAAGGCAGACGCTTAACTGACTGAGTCACCCAAGCGCCACCGAACCAGTTAATATACCTTAAGGAAACTCTTTGAGATGGGTGAAGTATGAAGAAAACAGGAAGATAATGATTAAAACAGAACATAATTACATAATTTAAAATTACTTTCATGTTATGAACAAAATAATCCCAGATACTTTAAAAACTTAGAATTCTATAGTTATTACTGAAGTTCACATAACTTTATACTAAAAGGTGAAAAAAGATTTTGGAAACAAACCATTAAAGTGAGGCTATTTCTTGGCAAAATTAGAAGAGCTAATTTAAGTTTGAATATAGATAACCATGTAAGTTCCAAATGTGGAAGGTAAATATTGGCAGTAAACAAGCTTTCTTGTAAGAAAAAATAAAACATATTAATAGATATAAAATAAACCCGTAAGATTTCCTTTGTCACATATCAAAGTTCTTTTGCTTCAGAAAACATTATTTTCCTTAATAAACATGGGATTTTATCTCAAAACTCTAGGAAAAGTATGTAACTTGCAACCATCTCAGATTCCAGCATAGAACTGGGAAACCCAACTGAGTGTTAAGTGTTCACCCACTAAGATACTAAAGTGCCAGACCTTACCTTCTTCATCACTCAGTCTATTCCTGAATATCTAATCCTTTTTAAGTAAGTTGTCAGGCCAAACACCATGTGACAAAGCTACACACTCATAATTTATGATCTTAGTGTTGAGCCATTTTTTTAAATTTATTCCAAGTATCACATGTCAATGCCAAGCCTTTACCTTGATCCTTACATTTAAAGGAGAATTTACTTTGGTATAAAGTGTGCATTCCATTGATTTATTTGTTCACTTAATTTTCAAAATGCTTCCATTGTTGTCTCACACTTAAGTACATGTCTTTTTTCCACTGATTTGAAATGCCACTCATCATACACGGATTCCCATTAAGAACTTGGGATTTTTTCTGGACATTATCTATTTTGTTGACTACACATGCCACTATCACAACTCTGAAAATTTATTGTTATGTTTATGCATCCTATTACTTTCTTTCTTTTTTGTTTCTTCCAAATTTCTATTTAAATTCTAGTTAATTACCATATGGTGTAATATTGGTTTCAGGAATAGAATTTAGTGATTCATCACTTACATTAACACCCAGTGCTTATCATAACAAGTTCCCTTCTTAATACCTGTCACCTATTTAGCCCATCCTCCATCCACCTCCCTCCATCAACCCTCAGTTTGTTCTTTATTGCTAAGAGTCTCTTGGGGTGCCTGGGTTGCTCCGTTGGTTAAGTATCTGACTCTTGAATTCGGCTCAGGTCATAACGTCAGGGTCGTGAGATCAATCCAAGTCAGGCTCCACGCTCAGTGGGGAGTCTGCTTCTCTCCCTCTCCTTCTCCTGCTGCCCCCGCCCCCAGCTCATGCTCTCTCTTTAAAAAAATGTCTCTTATGCTTTGCCTCCCTCCTCCTCCTCTTTTTCCACCCTTCCCACATGTTCATCTGTTTTGTTTCCTAAATTCCACATGAGTGAAATCATATGGTATTTGTCTTTCTCTGACTTATTTCACTTAGAATAATACACTCTAGCTCCACCCATGTCAATACAAATGGCAAGATTTCATTTTTTAATGGCTTTGTAATATTCCAGTGTGTGTGTGTGTGTGTGTGTGTGTGTGTGTGTGTGTGTGTATACACCACTTCTTTTTTATCCATTCATCAGTCAATGGGCATTTCGGCTCTTTCCATAATTTGGCTATCATTGATATTGCTGCTATAAGCATCGGGATGCATGTACCCCTTCAAATCTTTGTTTTTGTATCCTTTGGGTAAATATCTAGAAGTGTAATTGCTGGATCGTAGGGTACTTCTATTTTTAACTTTTTGAGGAACCTCCATATTGTTTTCCAGAATGGTTGCACCAGTTTGCATTCCCACCAACAATGTAAGAGGGGTCCCCTTTCTCCACATCCTCACCAACATCTGTTTTTTACTGTGTTGTTAATTTTAGCCATTCTGACAGGTGTGAGGTGGTATCTCATTGTGGTTTTGATTTGTATTTCCTGATGATGAGTGATGTTTAGCATTTTTTCATGTGTCTGTTAGCCATCTGGATGTCTTCTTTGGAAGAATGTCTATTTATGTCTTCTGCCCATTTCTTAACTGGATTACTTGTTTTTTGGGTGTTGAGTTTGATGAGTTCGTTATCGATTTTGGATATTAACCTATAATCAGATATGTCATTTGCAAATATCTTCTCCCATTCTATAGGCAGCCTTTTAGTTTTGATGACTGTTTCCTTCGCTGGGCAGAAGCTTTTTATCCTGATGAAGTCCCAATAGTTGATTTCTGCTTTTATTTCCCTTGCCTCCAATGGCGTGTTTTATAGGAAGTTGGTACAGCCAAAGTTAAAGAGGTTGCTGCCTGTGTTCTCCTCTAGGATTTTTTTTTTTAAGATTTTATTTATTTGACAGAGAGAGAGACAGCAAGAGAGGGAACACAAGCAGGGGGTGTGGGAGAGGGAGAAGCAGGCTTTCCACTGAGCAGAGACCTGATGCGGGGCTCGATCCCAGGACCCTGGGATCATGACCTGAGCCGAAGGCAGACGCTTAACGACTGAGCCACCCAGGCACCCCTCCTCTAGGATTTTGATGGATTCCTGTCTCACAATTAGGTCTCTTATCCATTTTTAATTTATTTTTGTGTATGGTGTAGGAAAGTGGTCCAGTTTCATTCTTCTGCATGTCGCTGTCCAGTTTTTCTAACACTATTTATTAAAGAGACATTCTTTCTCCCATTGGATATTTTTTCCTGCTTTGTCAAAGATTAGTTTAGGGGCCCCTGGGTGGCTCAGTCATTAGGCGCCTGCCTTTGGCTCAGGTCATGATCCCAGTGTCCTGGGATTGAGCCCCGCATCAGGTTCCCTGCTCAGCGGGAAGCCTGCTTCTCCCTCTCCCACTCCCCCTGCTTGTGTTCCCTCTCTCACTGTGTCTCTGTCAAATAAATAAATGCAATCTTTAAAAAAAAAAAATAGTTGACCATATAGTTGTGAGTCCATTTCTGGGTTTTCTATTCTGTCCCATTGATCTATGTATCTGTTTTTCTGCCAGTATCATACTCTCTTGTTGATTACAGCTTTGTAATATAGCTTGAAGTCTGGAATCCTGATGCTTCCCACTTTGCTTTTCTTTTTCAGGACTGCTTTGGCTATTCGGGGTCTTTTGTGCTTCCAAACAAACTTTATGATTATTTGTTCTAGCTCTGTGAAAAATGTTGGTGGTATTTTGATAGGGATTGCATTGAATGTGTAGATTGCTTTGGGTAGTATAGACATTTTAGCAATGTTTGTTCTTCCAATCCATGAGCACGGAATTTTTTCCCATTTCTTTCTGAGCGCTTCCATTTCTTTCATAAATATTCTATACTTTTCAGAGTACAGATCTTTTACCTCTTTGGTTATTCCTAGGTATCTTATTGTTTTTGGTGCAATTGTAAATGGAATTGATTCCTTGATTTCTTTTTCTGCTGCTTCATTATTGGTGTATAGAAATGCAACAGATTTCAGTACATTGATTTTATATCTTGTGACTCTGCTGAATTCATGTATTAGTTCTAGCAATTTTTTG